ATCACCGGATTGGTTGACTAAAAAGCCAAAGCCTTGGGTCTCAGTCTCAATGCCCCTTTTACTTCCTACATTCAGTTGTTTAGCAGACCGTGCTAAGTCCAACCTCAAAATAAGTCTTAAAGTTCTTTTTCTTTTTACACATGTTATTTGAATTTTATATGTTTGGCTGTTTTGCCTTGGTCTATGTCTGTCCACCAGATGCATGCATGCATTCCCTAGGACAGAAGAGGGCACAGGATTACCCTGGGGACGGAGCCACAACTGAGTTTGAACCACGTGTGGGTGTTGGGAATGGAGCCTGGGTCCTCTGGAAGAGCAGCCCATGCTTTTAACCATCTCTCCAGCACCTATTTTTATTCTTTCTGTTTGTGTGTGGTATGTGCAGGTGAGTGCAGATGCTCGGGAGCTGGAGTTACCGTCAGTTGTGAGGCACCCAGTGTGGATGCTTAGAATGATACTCTGAGCCTTTAGCAGGCCGGTACTTGCTTTAATCATTGAGCCATCGCTCCAGCCCTTGAACATAATTTTTGTTTTTTTTTTTTGCCACCATTCTAGACCAAGCTATCATTTCTTACTTATAATTCCAGAGTCAGCTCTTATTTAGTCTCCCCATTTCTAACCATGCATCCCTCTACTCTGTCCTCTCCATAACAACCAGAATTGTATTTTAAAATTGAAAATCAGATTGTATTGTTCCTTTTACTTTTTTTGTTTTGTTTTGGTTTTGTTTTTCGAGACAGGGTTTCTCTGTGTAGCTTTGGAGCCTATCCTGGCACTCGCTCTGGAGACCAGGCTGGCCTTGAACTCACAGAGATCCGCCTGCCTCTGCCTCCCGAGTGCTGGGATTAAAGGTGTACACCACCAAGGCCCGCCTGTATCTTTCCTTTTACAAAAGTCTTCAGTACTTCTCATTATACTTAGACTAAAATTGAAGTTCTTGATGCAGCCTATGTGACCATATAAGATTTGGCTTGCTGGATGTTGGTGGTGCACACCTTTGATCCCAGCACTCAGGAGGCAGAGGCAGGTGGATCTCTGTTAGTTTGAAGCCAGCCTCATCTCCAGAGCGAGTGCCAGGATAGGCTCCAAAGCTACAGAGAAACCGTGTCTCGAAAAAACAAAACAAAACAAAACATTTGGCTTTTAGAGCTGAGCATGTAGCTCAGTGGCAGAGTGCAAGGCACTGGATTTTATTTCCAGTATTACAATCAAACAGATGCAAATGATCTGCCTTTCAACCACATCTCATACCACTCCTTCACTCAGTGACCACACTCTGGCTGCACTCCTGTCCTTTCTGTTCACTGAGTTGTTTTTGGACAACCAGACATTTGCACTTGTTCTTTTCACTGCTGGAGACGTTCTTCCTGCTTCTCTATGTGGTTGCCTCATTCTCATCTTTTAGGTCTTATCCGCAATGTCACCTCACAGAACGGCCTTCCATGGCTCCC